CGAGGAATGGGAGAGGGACCAATCCGAAATGCGAACAGCGGGAGAAAAACTATAAAAATAGGAATTTCAAGGTCGAAGGACAGTCTCCTCTGGATTAAGCTCGCTGTGTTTCTAGATAGTGAATTGTGTCGTCATCCAAGACGTCTCGCGACTCTCCGATCCCATCTCGTCCATCCCGGGGCATCAACGGAAAGGAAAATCCTCGCCATCCCGAAGAACGGAAAAGTGGAACTGAACTGTCAATTATTGATATAAGCATCAATGTTACCAAATAAACGGCTTTTTCAACGGATTTCACCTAAAATACGGCAATCTTATACGGCTGCCGAAAAGTGGGTTTTCAAGTCCCCTATCTCCACCGGATTGGCGATTTTACCTAGAAGCCAAGGAATTGCAAGTAGGATTTTTTAATGTGTGTGTTTGTACGAATACATAGGAATGGGCACGGATCAAGAATGATACCCTTGCAAAGAATGCTGCTTCAAACACATAATGGATTACAAAATAACCCATTGGAACTGTTGTGATTTGCACAACAACTTCTCTGACATTAAAAACATGACATCATCTACGTTATCTCTCCACGTTGCACTCCAGGTAACTCATCTAAAGCCTGGAGAAAGAATTTCTTTAAATGGATTCAANATAGTATTGAAAATTAATAAAAAATACTTTTTAACTTATTAAATAAATTCAAATAATAATTTTAGTTGAAAAATATAAAATTTTAATAAAACTGTATTTTATAATAAACATAGATATAATAATTGTAAAATAATAAATCTTAAAATATTTTAACAATTTTATTTTTATTTATAATTTTCAGTTCTTACTGTGAAATTAGTGTATTAATGAGATTTTGAAGTTCATTATGAAAAGTTTTCAGTATGCAATTTAACATAGCCTGAGAATTTAAAAAGTTCATAACATTTATAATGTTATGAACTTTATATACCTACTATATTTGTTAAGTGTGTTTTAATTAATAATTTATTAAAAAACACTTAACAAATATATTATTTATTTGTAAAGATACTTATATTAATTAGTTGCAGTGTCATTGAATTTATCAATATTTTATGAATAAATATTTTGATTGACAATTGAACACATTTTTACTTTATTTAAATAACGAAATCAATATATTTTTCTGTTCGAGAAAAGCTAAAAGAATTGCTTGTACATTACGGAAAGTGTTTTAAGTTCAAACTCCTCACAACGCATCGTGTGTCGCGTCGCTAGCCATATCCTGGTTCGTGTTGGATTGCATTTTAAAATGGGGAATTTAAAGTGTACGAAAATTAAAACCCACAAATTATTAACTATTAAAAGAAAATAATAGTTTTTAAACCATTTGAATTTAGTTTTAGATTTAAGAAAATGATCATTAAAATTTTTAGGTGTCAAAAAAGGGTATAAACAACAATCTGAATTATGAGTGCAGATGTTATTGTTTTATAAACAATTACCGAGCAGAGTCGATAAAAAGGTATCAAATGGACACCTCGAACGGGACCTTTCCTGCAACCCGAAGAGGTTTCATCTTGCACCTGGAGACAAAGCAGACCAATCGAGAAGCGAGGAATGGGAGAGGGACCAATCCGAAATGCGAACAGCGGGAGAAAAACTATAAAAATAGGAATTTCAAGGTCGAAGGACAGTCTCCTCTGGATTAAGCTCGCTGTGTTTCTAGATAGTGAATTGTGTCGTCATCCAAGACGTCTCGCGACTCTCCGATCCCATCTCGTCCATCCCGGGGCATCAACGGAAAGGAAAATCCTCGCCATCCCGAAGAACGGAAAAGTGGAACTGAACTGTCAATTATTGATATAAGCATCAATGTTACCAAATAAACGGCTTTTTCAACGGATTTCACCTAAAATACGGCAATCTTATACGGCTGCCGAAAAGTGGGTTTTCAAGTCCCCTATCTCCACCGGATTGGCGATTTTACCTAGAAGCCAAGGAATTGCAAGTAGGATTTTTTAATGTGTGTGTTTGTACGAATACATAGGAATGGGCACGGATCAAAGGTTAGTTTTGTAATTTATTTTATATTTGAATGTTGAGGTATTATCTCAGTTTTCCAGCAATTTTTGGATCAAAATTGTTAAAATATAACAGTTCAGTTTTGAAATATTCGAAGTAATTTCGACTTTGAATTGTCAGTATCGAGGTGCACCTTCTAACGCCGGTACGCGATGCGTCGTGCAGAGGTTTAATCATACTAATAACTTTAATATATAATTTAATAATTAAAATCAAACAATTCTTATCATTATGCAATTATTGGTGAACGTTAGATTCGTACAGATAAAGAAAATTGTAATATTAAGGCGAAATCATCTCCTTGTCCTTGTTTTAAACACTACAAACATTCGAGGTGAGTGTTTACAAGTTTTCCGATTACCTCCACGACGGCGGGAGATAAGTTAAAGAATGTTAATGGTACTATTAGCACTGGGAGCAGTTAGCGCAACCACTTTGGCGGNAATAATTAAAATCAAACAATTCTTATCATTATGCAATAATTGGTGAACGTTAGATTCGTACAGATAAAGAAAATTGTCCTTGTTTTAAACACTACACATTCAAGGTGAGTGTTCACAAGTTTTCTGATTACCTCCACGATGGCGGGAGATAAGTTAAAGAATGTTAATGGTAACATTCTTTAACTTATTCTTTAACTGGTAATCGAATACAATTATTTTCGAATGTTCAGATTTTGAACAGACTTTTGAAATTATCTTATGCACGTGGATGGAATTCAGAGAAAGCTGACTTTAAAATTCCCTCCAAAACTCCAAAAGAAAAATCTTTTGTGAAATTAAAGAATGATACCCTTGCAAAGAATGCTGCTTCAAACACATAATGGATTACAAAATAACCCATTGGAACTGTTGTGATTTGCACAACAACTTCTCTGACATTAAAAACATGACATCATCTACGTTATCTCTCCACGTTGCACTCCAGGTAACTCATCTAAAGCCTGGAGAAAGAATTTCTTTAAATGGATTCAATCTTTGCCGTAATAATGATGATAGTCACAACCACGCCAGTGGAGGTATGGCTATACAAGTCTCAAATTGTATTCCATCCTTATTGGTACAAATAACCACTGAATTTGCAAGCCGTGGCAGTCAGAATTTCTATTGGAGTAACTGTCATAGTTTGTTCTGTATACTTGCCGTCAGATGTCAGAGTCAACGAGGATGAATTGGATGCCTTGGTTGAACAGCTGACGAGTTCATTTCTTTTACTCTGTGATTTCCATGGTCACAATCCAATGTGGACAGTCCTGACATCAACTGTCGAGGCAGAGCCATTGAGAGGTTCATAGACAATCACCAACTGTATTTATTTAATACTGGAGAAGTGATGTACTTTCATGCCCAAACAAGAACTTTCACTGCCATTGATTTATCATTAGCAACTTTAAACTGTTTTCAGCATTTACATGGAAAGTTGCATCTAATCCACTCTCTAGTGACCACTTTCCAATAATTTTTAAATATTGAGGAGAGAAAGCTGTGAAACGGCCTGTTCACCACTCTGGAAACTTGAAACGGCAGGTTGGCCGCAATCTCCTCTTTGGCTGACATCACTGAGGAAATGGTCAATACTGCTGATATCAATGATGCAGTTGAAGTTGTCACTTCCAGTATTATTCAGGCAGATGAAAAGACAATGGGTAAAACCTCAACCAGATATTTTAATCATCCAAAACCATAGTGGGATCAGAATTGCGATGCAGCATTTAAAAAACAAAAGAAAGCATGGGGATCTTTAGAAGTTCCCCACTGCTAACAATTTGATTGCTTTTCAAAAAGCGAAGGCAAATGTTAGAAAAATAAGAAGACAAAGCCAAAGGGATTCTTGTAGGAAGTATGTTTTTAGCATAACATCTTTTAGTAGCTCAAAAGCAGTCAGGATAAAATGCATAAAATCAATGGAAAATATGCTTCCTAGTCTCTGTCCATGCTGGAAAATAATGGCACAATAATCAGCAATATACAGGGTATATCTGATTTGTTGTGCAAAATGTTTTCTTCATTATCCAGCAGTATTATGTATTCAAGGAAATTTGAGGTTTATAAAGCCCAAAGTGAAAAACAGCATTTAAACTTTCACTTCTCATCAGATGAGGAATATAATGTGCTATTCAGTAGAATTGAATTACATACAGCGATTTCTTGCTCGGGGAATAGTGCTGTAGGCCCGGATAAAATCCACTATAGCATGATTAAAAATCTGTCAAACAATTCCCTTTATAATCTGCATTGTCTGTTTAACAGAATATGTACAGAACATACTTTTCCTGACTCCGGAATGGGAATAATAATCGATAGCCTCCAAGAGTCAGGAGGCTATCGATCATTATTTTCATTCCGAAGCCTGGTTAAGACCACAAGAAGCCCTCAAATTACGGACCAATCTCTCTGACAAGTTGCCTGTGTAAACTCTTTGAGAGAATGGTAAACAGACGTCTGATGTATTTCTTAGAGAAAAATGCCCCTTGATGTGGGTTGCTGTTCGTGGTGTGGGGACCTCCCAGAGATGGTGTAGAAAGTCTTCTTTACCATCCCTGGGATCTGAACGCCCACCCACGTGTTTGCCGTGCGTGGTGTCCTGTATGCCGGAACGGGGGATCCTGGTAGTTGAGGGGCAACATAACGTTCCCAACACAGTGCTATGGCCCCTGCTTCGGATAATCGGGAGGCTCAAATCAGGCTCCGTTTGAGTCAATCGGCTGGTCGTTGAGTCATTCTTGACCTCGGCTTGTAGTCAATTGATGGATGCAGACCGGGCAGACATTTCATACAAGATGTGCTCTTCTTGACTGCATTGTGAGGGTATAGCTCCTGGGAAAAAACCCCGGTGTGACTGTCTATGGGAAACTCCCATGTGATGGCATCTCCTTGTTGGGCCCCGTGGTGGGTGGGGTCACTAGGAACTGAAAATTTTTATTGAATATGGATTCTTTAAAACAAAACTGACCAAATACAGATAAATCATTAACAAAGGACGTTAGCTCTTCCAACAAGCCAGCATATCTCATAGTTCATAGTACTGGAGAGAAACCTCTGTCTAAATGCTCTCCCTTTCTGATTCAGAAATTATTCGAATCAACCATTGGACATCTCAAGAAAATACAAAAATTGAGATTAGGGGATTTACTCATAGAAACAGCCTCTCCTCAACAGTCGACAAAACTCCTGACAACAAAGACACTGGGAGACATGCAAGTGACTGTTACACCACACGGAATCTTAAACTCATCTCGTGGTGTGATATCGGAAATTGATCTGATGTCTGAAGAAGAGACAGATATTCAGATTGGCCTGTCAGACCAAGGTGTGACTGCCGTTCGACATATCTCCATTTGTCAAGATGGCAAGTTGATTTCAACCAAACATCTTATCCTCACATTTAACAAGCCGATATTACCAACTTCCATTACTGCAGGATACCTGCGCTGTCCAGTTAGTCCGTACATTCCAAATCTGCTGCGTTGTTTTACATGCCAGAGATTTGGACATTCTCAAACATCCTGTCGAGGGAAGAACATATGCGCACAGTCTCATAAGGAACTCTTTACCCTGCCCCGCCTATTGGCACTACAGGGTTTAAAGAGACTATGCCTTGTTCATTGACTGGTCGGTACCTGACGTGGTAGACAGGGACGTCATAGCTGGGCCCTATGATGCATCATTCGGACTCCCGTCCGCACCCCGGCCCAACTCACTAACTTGGCATAACTTTTGTTTGTGCAGCCTGTACTGCACTTTTGGTCCACATAACTAAACCTTTAATAGCTCACACAATAATGTAGGAAACACAGACAGTACCTACATGTAGTAGGTATACGGACAGCGGGGCCCTGACTCCAGATGGAGGGGGCCCAAAAAGCCAATTATAACTTATAGATCAAGAAGATCTATGATTTCTCCCATTAATTCCTTTAGTTTCTTTAGGTTCCCTTTACTAGCTGCAAGCGTTCGAAGTACTTGTTCAGGGGGCTTAGACCAGTCAACTTGGTCTGCCCCTAGGCGGAAGTCCCTTGTTAGGGGACAGTCAAGTACGTAATGCCTCGCGTCGCCGCGAGGACTACCACAGGGGCAGCTACCATCTCCTTGTCCAAATTTGGACTTGAAGTGGGGGAACCTCCCGTGGCCAGTGAGGATTTGAGTCGACAACGAGCAACAACTTATCGGAGTGAGGCCAACTACAGGCACGAAGGCGTAGGTTGACCTACCTACTGTACTAAGAGTCCAGCGTTCTCGCCAGCTTATCATCGATCGTTGCAGTAAGGTACCTTTTATGTATGTAGTCGAGGGATCTACCGTCCTCGTAACAAATGGGCCACTGGCTCCCGCCTTTGCCAGCTGATCGGCCCGTTCGTTGCCCAGGACGCCGGTGTGGCCTCTTACCCACCGCAGGACAACGTGTCGTTCGTGCCTCGCCCTCAGTACCCTACCTCTGATCTCATGTACCAATGGATCACGATGGTACCCGTCGCTTAAAGCCTGTAACGACGACTGGCTATCTGAGTAAACCGTGACCGGCTCTGGACCCGGGTGTAGTAGGATCCACTGGGACGCCCCCTCCAGGGCCACCAGTTCTGCCTGGAACACGGACGCTTCCTCGTTCAGTCTGACAGTTCTGCTGTACACTTCAACTTTGTTGGAAAAGACGCAGTATGCGGCGCCTACCAAGCTGCCGTCCTTCGAGCCATCAGTATATATCTCAACACCGGTACCAGTCGGTTCACCGACTTCCCAATCGAGTCCAATCCTGTGGGCAGGATGGATCTTCAGTACGTCTGTCTGACGCCTAAGTCTGATCGGGTACTTCTGATTACAATGCATGGCCTCTCTGCCTTCCACTGTAGTTCTGTAGAAGGCTGCCTCTTGGCTGACTACCAGTGGCAAAGGGAGCAGCCCGGCCAGGACCAGGGCCGCATCCGTAGACACAGTTCTGTACGCACGCGTGATCCGCAATGCAGCGGGACGCTGGATCGTGAGTAGTGTCCTACTCTGACAGACGTTGGCGGTGTCTTTCCACCAGACGCCACAGGCGTAGCAGACAACGCGCTCCACGCACATCTTGTAGATGGTACGAAGCGCTTCGCCACTCAGCCCGTAATCCTGCCTTGCTAGTCGTGATAGTGCCGCTATCATTCGGTTCGTTCTGACTCGAACGTCCCTCAGGTGGGGAGTCCAGCATAGTGTCTGGTCGATGATTACACCGAGGTACTTTAACTCATTCACCCTTCGGATGGGGTTGCCCCGAATGCGGTATATAGGTCGGTGTGCCAATACCCCGCTTCGGGCCACCGTCAGGGCCTCTGATTTCTCAGGGCTGAAGGAGAGCTTATGCAGCTCTCCCCAGTGAACGAGCTGTTCTATTGCTTCGTTGCCGCGAACCTCCATGTCGCGTCGATTATAGCCTGCAACTACTAACAATAGGTCGTCAGCATAAGCCTGCAGTTGGACTTGGTCTGGAAGGACCAGCCGCAACGCCGTGTCTGCTAGAACGTTCCACAAAAGGGGACCAATACAGGAACCCTGTGGACAGCCCCTTTCAAGCGTCCTCTCATACCTACTATCTGGTGTCTCGTAGACAACCGAGCGGTCACTCAGGAAACTCCTAGAAAGTGATACAAGGGCGGTCGGCAAGTTTGCCTTCCTCAGCTCACCCACAATGGACGGCCACCAAACGTTGTCGAAAGCCCCAGCGACGTCCATCGAGACGAGCGTCGTGTGGAGCCCCTGCCGGCGGTTCTGGCGAACCAGTTCCACCGCGCGGTGTAATGCGTGGCAGGTCGACGTGTTCGGGCGGAATCCATATTGATGCGGGTGTAGCTGCCCTTTCCGCTTTAGATAGAAAAAGATTCTATCGCTGAGGATTCTATCAAGAACCTTCCCCAGCACTGGTAGTAGGCTGATCGGCCTGTAGGATCTGGGTTCGTTCTTCGGGCGCTTCTCCTTGTGAATGAACACGAGGCGCGCCCGCTTCCATTGCACTGGGAAGTGACCCAGGAGCAGGCACTTCTGATACAGTACACGGAGCAGGTTAGGACATTCCTCTTGTAGAACTTGTACCATTTTGGCCGTGATCCCATCAATGCCAGGTGCCTTCCTCTTCCTCAGATTGCCCACAACGTGAGCAACTTCAGATTCAGACACCGGCACGGGTAACTCGGCCTCAAGAGCAGGCAACTCCGCATCGCTGCGAAGCCGCCGTTGCTCTTCAGTGTCATCAGACCGCTCATCACACGGAAAGTGCGATTGGAGCAGTACCTTAATCGACTCCTCCTGTGTGGAGGTTAGGGTTCCGTCCGGTTTTTTGATGGACCCCAAGACCGTCCTACGCTTTAGCTTTCCCGCAACTAGCCTGTAAGGTAGGCCAAACGGATTTTCGTCGCTGATCTGCTGACAGAAACTGAGCCATGAGGTTCTCTTTGCATCGTTCAATTTGTACTTGTACTTGGCATTGGCCCTCTGGAACTCCAGTTTCCTGGTCGTCCGAAGGTCATCATCTCTGCATCGTTGGAAGCGTCGGCGGAGCGCCCTCACACGCTTCCGTAGGACACTCAGTTCCTGGATCCACCAGGGAACTGACCGGTGGTTGCTGGGCCGCCGTAGCGCGAGCGTGCAGTCTCCTGCTTCTCTGATCGCTTTGGTGAGGTTTGCCACAGCTTCCTCCAGATCCTCGACACTCTCAACCTTAGAGACTTCGGTGACAATGTCGACTGTCTTTTCAATGAGGCATTTGCTAAATCGATCGCGGTTTCCAGCAGTTAGTTTGTAGCGACTGTCCCGCCTATCCGGCGGGCCGCTCATCACCACGAAGGCAATGAAGCGGTGATCACTACAACTTTCTGCATAGATCGTCTCCCATTGCGAGGTGAGTCTCAGCATAGCGCCACTAACGAGAGTCAGATCAATCCAGCTCTCGCCTGATGGAGAGGAGAAGGTAGCAATTCCGAACGGATCGTTCAGAACGTGCAGCCCCCAACCCTCCGCCGTGTCCTTCATCATGTTCCCGTCAGGATCATCAACCGGCGAGCCCCACAGCGAGTGTTTGGCGTTGAAATCGCCACCCACAACAACCCGACTGTGGGCCGAGACAACCCCTTCGAGTTCAGTCAGAAGACAACTCAGGTTGAGCGACGGCGGGCGATAACTGGAGACGACGGTCCAAGCACATGAAGGTGTCCGTATTTCTACGGCCACCACGAGATGAGAAACGTGGACAGCGTAAGCATCGACGTCCCTGCGTGTGAGAATAACTGCAGTTCGACAATCATCACCTTCTTGGGCGAAAACGCTCCATTGAAGTGAGAGACCACCGACCTTTCCTTGTACTAGGTACGGCTCTTGGAGCAGGATGATATCAATCTCCCGCTTGACTACTTCTACCCGTAATTGGGCAGTTGCAGCCCGACACTTTTCAGCATTAAATTGCAGTATACTGCAGCTCGCATTCTCGTCATCCCACATATAAGTAGTAATGTTGTCGGACTCGAATGATAGGAATTGCCGATCTAAGGACCGTAATCGGTCCTGGCCCGAACTCGTTCTAGTTCCCGTGCATAGCACGGACAGCTAGCACTCATGGCAGAGTGACCCGTACCCAGCTGTAGGCCAAATTTTTTATTTGCCTCAGTGCAGTTGACGCACCGAGGCTCAGATGCCTTACACTCTTTATAAGAGTGATCATGGGCACATTTGCTACATCGTTGGGCTGCTGCCTTACAGCCTCGTGCAATATGCCCGAAGGCATAGCACTTGTAGCACCGAGTACAGCTCAGGTGTTCCCTTACTCGGTTGCGGGTCCACCCCACATGGAGTCTCCCCTTCTGCAGGAGAGCGTGGAAGACCGGTGGAGAGGCCTCCAACATCCAGTTGGTAAGCCCTCCTTTTCCCTTAAGTGGGAAGCAAGGCTGCAGTTCGCCAGGCTGCAGCCTGAGTTCGTTCTGAACTCTGATGGTCTCCACAAGACCGTCGCGTGTGACGTCCGGGTCAACGTCGAACAGGATAACCCTCGGTCGGCGCTTTTGGGGCAGTCGGCATTTGACCGCCTCTCTGAGCACCTTGGGGCCCGCTGTTAACTCATGTTGCAACCGCTCGACGTCCTGGTGCTTCGCAACCTCTACCAGGACGCTGTTATTGCGTACTCTCCGCACGTTTTTAATCCCGATGCCTAGTTTGGCGGGGTTAACGTGGGATTTCAGCAGTGACTTTGTATTGTCACTTGTCATTTGATCATTCGTAGGGAAGACCAGGAGCGTGTGCTCTTTGGTAGGAACCCTACGTGGCTTGGCAGCTTCCCGAGGACCCCCTTGGATTTTTGGTGGGGCCGGACGGGCAGCAACAGTGGCGTACGTGACACCATCGGCTGTGCGTGCCTTGCCTTCCTTTTTGTTGCCAGGTGGCAGCGAGGTGTGTCCCTTCACCTCCTGTGAGGTGTGTCCCTTCACCTCATGCAAGGTCACAAGTTTTGCTCGGAGAGAGGCAATCTCGATCTCCTGGGCATTAAGTATGCTGGTGATCTTGTTAAACAGGTGGTAAATAACAGCACACGTGGCCTTCTGACATCGGCTGTCAGTTCGCGCGAGGAGCTTTGTCAGCTCATCGTGCACGCCATCGAGTGCTTTACGCCTGCTCTCGACCGTTTCAAGCTTTTCCCGTGTTTCCACGGGCGCCGACAACAGTGTTTCAGCTTTGGTGGCCGGACTTATTTTCCCGGCCACTGCTGCGGTAGGGACCTTCTTCTTGGCTTTTGCCTTGGACCCGCCTTTGCTTTTGGAGGAGGGTTTCCCCTCCCCCATGGCCACCGCAGCTTTTTCGGGTTCTTCTTTAGACTTCTCAGTCTTGGATTCCCGCGTTCCGGCTTTGGCCGCCATTGCCCGTCTTTGTTTACGCCTTTGTCTGGCGTTGGTAGGCGCGGGCTTCCACTCGCTTTCCTCAGCAGAGGTAGCGGAGTCGAAAACTTCCCCAGAAACTAGACTAGAGCGATCCGAATCGGACTCGCTGTCTACTATGGGGATTGAGACTTTTACAGTCTCTTTGGGCCTATCCTTTGTAGGTTCTTGTGGTGGATCAGCAGCGGGCGGCTTACGCTTATGCAGCGTCCGCTTCTCCATTGGCTCGGTGCTCGACTTAACACCGCCTTCCACTTGCACTCCCTCCCTTAGCTTCTCGCCATGACACTGAACATTTAGCGTATCATCCGCACATGAAACGCTTGCCAAATTCTCGCACGATTTAGCCATGTTCGTCATCATAATAAAAAGGAAAATAAAGAGGGGATTAGGGTGATCTCGACCTTTCATGGGTGCCCTGAATCCGTTCGAGAATCAAAGTATGCGTTTAAGAGCCAGCTCTGACTTTGGGCTTACTGAGGGCTCATTTTGGCCCTCTTATTGCCGGGTCGTCACTGCTTAGCCCGCTGCCGGGACAGCTACCCATTTAAATGGCGTCCTACCCAAGGTTACCCCAGCCCGGCTGGTTGCTCGGCTTGGGCCGCCCCATCATCCCTACTAGGAGACGCTCTTCCCGCTTCTAGTCCTCCGAGACTATATACGGCCATCCAACGCATCGTGAGGCCTTTAAGCACCACTCCCCCCCAAGGGCATGAAGGAAGTTGGCCCTATGCCCGAGGAGTGGCTCTGCCAACTGCCCGTCAGGATAGATACCAGCTAGCAGGGTCCTACAATCCACTGTAGGCGCTACCCCCTGGCCACCAGCGAGGCTTTGGCTACGGGAGTACGACTCCTCGCCCCACTGGCTTCGGCATGCAGGCCGTGGTCCCCAAGCCAGCACTGGGTGTGCGAAGCCCGGTCTTCCTCTTGAGAAGCTGGTTCTTCTTTTACCGGACAGAAGGAGCTTTACGTGGTCTGCGCTACCACGGGCTGAGGCTAAGTTGACTGCATTCAACCGCCTTTTGGCGTGAAACATCGGCCCCGTGCCACCGGGTAGATGCGGGAGTTCGCTTCGTGTGTCTCAGATTCCAGGGGGTACGGATTGTCAAGTCCATGGCCCCCAGTCTCTGTGCCGACACGGGATTTGAATCCGAAAGTTTCGGCGTCCACTGTGTGCTTCTATGTGTAATATCAGGGATGTAACCCATCAGCCCAGGGTACAATGTGCATCTCGCTACAGGCAGATGATTTAACTGTCGCGAGTAGGGAGACTCGGGACTGTTTACCATAGCAAAGAGTCCCTACCACGTTTCAGCAGCGCCCCTATCGAGTGCCATCACACCGCAGGCCAGCGGGTGCCTACGCTTTCATCGGCAGAGCTACCAACTTTCGTTGGCGATTGCCAACTACAGCCGGACAAGCTCAATCGACTACACTCTGCATATCTTGTCCAAAGACAAGTCCTCCCTAGGAACCATATTAGCGACAGCTACAGCGACTATCCCCCAGCTTCCGGACTTACTGAGGGCTCATTTTTGCCCTCTTATTGCCGATACTATTAGGGACAGCCCCGCGCCTCGATCGTGTTAATCTCCCTTCTATAATGATGTGAGTCTGCATGCCACAATGCCAATAAGCAGCTCTAGTAGCCGTCCGCACCAGCGGGGATAGGTTCCAGAATAGAGGGACATCCCCACCGGAGTCGCCCCCGCCGTGGGGCGGCGAACGGACAGCAAGCATTTTAAAGGCTTGGTACACAGACCCAAAGCCTATGATGTAATAACGCCTCTGGAACCTTCGGCTCGAGTCGTGAGACTCCATCAACGATCGACACCAAGACGAGTCTTTCGGGACCCATTACCCGTCGTCTCTCACCGCCGGGGCCCCCCGCCACAGCCAGGCTCGGTTCCCTACTCGGGGGGGCATATGCGCACAGTGTGGAGTTGAAGGTCACCAGAGTACCGAGTGTACCACAACTCCATGCTGTGTGAATTGCAAAGACGCACATCATGCCTACTCCCGCAAATGCCTTGCATGGCAGACAGAAAAAGAAATCCAGCGTGTAAAAACAGTAAACAACTTACCTTACCCAGAGGCTCGTCGTATGGTCACTTCGAGTGCACCACTGAAACAAAAGACATTTGCTGCTGCTTTGAAATTTACAAAGACATGTGGAGTTCAAACTGATATTTCCGTTTCCCCAAAGGAATCTCTTACTCGCCATGCAAAATGTTTAATACTCCCATCAAAAGAAACACCAGAAAAGGAGAGTATAAAACCAAAAACACCTCTACCTAAAACAAGGGTTATAACAAGAAACCTGGGTTTAAAAAAGGCTAGTAAGAACCCACTAAACAAGCAGAGAGTGAAAGTGGCTCTCTCTAAATGTAAAAAATCAGAAGCCCACTCTATGAGTGAGTTTTATGATATCTCTGATGAAGAGATTAATCAGGTGAAAAAACCCACATCACCTTTAAAAGAAAAACCTCCTGTTATATTAAAGAGGGATACCGTTACTAAAAATGCTGTCTCAAACACATAATAGATTATAAAATAACCCAATGGAACTGTTGTGGTTTTCGCAACAACTTTTCTGACATTAAACATTTGACATCATCTACCCAATCTCTCTGCGTCGCACTCCAGGAAACCATCTGAAACCTGGAGAAAATATCTCTTTAAAAGGATTCAATCTCTACCGCAAGGATGATGATAGCCACAACTGTGCCAGTGGAGGAGTGGCTATACTGGTTTCAAACTGCATCCCATCCTTACCGGTACAAATAACAACTGATTTGCAAGCTGTGGCAGTCAGAATTTCAATTGGAGTTACTGTCACAGTTTGTTCTATATACTTGCCCCCCAGAAGTCAGAGTCAATGAGGATGAATTGGATTCATTAGTTGAACAGCTGCCAACTCCATTTCTTTTACTGGGTGATTTCAATGGCCACAATCCTATGTGGGGCAGTCCCGACATCAATCGTCGAGGCAGAGCCATTGAGAGATTTATCGGCAATCAGGAAATATATTTATTTAATACTGGAGAAGTGACATACTTCCATGCCCCATCAAGAACGTTCACTGCCATTGATCTATCATTAGCAAGTCCGAATCTGTTTTCAGCATTTATATGGGAGGTTGGATGTAATCCACTCTCTAGTGACCACTTTCCAATATTTCTAAAATATCGAGGCAGAGAAAGCTGTGAAATAGCCTGTCCACCACGCTGGAAACTGGAAACGGCAGATTTTCCTTCATTCTTTTCTTTGGCTAACATCACCGAGGAAATGGTCAATACTGCTGATATCAATGATGCAGTTGAAGTTGTCACTTTGTGTATTATTCAGGCAGCTGAGAAAACAATGGGAAAGACATCAACAAGATACCCAAAGCATCCGAAACCATGGTGGAACCAGAATTGCGAGGCAGCATTTAAAGCACAAAAGAAAGCATGGGGGATTTTCAGAAGATACCCCACTGCTAGAAATTTGATTGCTTTTAAAAAAGCAAAGGCAAATGCCAGAAGAATAAGAAGGCAAAGCCAAAGGGATTCTTGGAGGAAGTATGTTTCTAGCATAACATCTTCCACTAGCTCAAAAGCAGTCTGGGATAAAATCCATAAAATTAATGGGAAATATGCTTCTCACTCTCTGTCCATGCTGGAAAATAATGGCACAATAATCAGCAATATACAGGGTATAGCTGATACGTTGGGTGAAACATTTTCTATTTCATCCAGCAATATTATGTATTCAAGAAATTTTCAGGCTTATAAAGCCCAAAGTGAAAAACAATATTTAAACTTTCATTCCTCATATAATGAGGAATATAATGTGCCATTCACCAGCATAGAACTACATACAGCGATCTCTCGCTCGGGGAATAGTGCTGTAGGCTTGGATAAAATCCACTACAGCATGATTAAAAATCTGTCAAACAATTCCCTTTATAATCTTTTGCATTTGTTTAACAGAATATGGACAGAACATACTTTTATAGACTCTTGGAGGTTATCTATCATTATTCTTATTTTTAAATCTGGTAGAGATCATAAGAATTTTTCTAATTACAGACCAATCTCTCTGACAAGTTATCTCTGTAAAATTTTGAGAGAATGGTAAACAGACGTGTAATGTATCTCTTAGAGAAAAAGGAATACTGTTTACCACATCAGAATGGTTTTTGTAGGAACAGAAGTACTACTGGTAACCTGGTAAATTTTGAAACATATTTATGTGAAGCGTTTGTTAGACGACAGCACTTAGTGTCTGTGTTTTTTGACATAGAGAAAGCCTATGATGGCTGTTGGCGATACGGGATAGTTTGTGATTTACACCAATTTGGATTGCAAGGTAATTTGCCAATTTTTATAAAAAACTTTTTACAGAATCGAAGATTTCAAGTTAGGATGGGCAACACTATCTAGGCTTTTCACGCAACAAGAAGGTGTTTTTCAAGGCTGTATTTTGAGTGTGACTTTGTTTCTAATTAAAATTAATAGCATAGCTAACTGTCTTTGCCCTAGTGTGAAACACTTTTTGTTCGTGGATGACTGAGATCTCCTGCCAGTTTAGTAACATGAGTTTCATTGAGAGACAACTTTAAACTTTTCTAAATCACATATATTATTGGTCCAAAACCAATGGCTTTACGTTTAACGCAGCGAAGACATCGTACATCCACTTGTGCCGAAGGCGTGGTTTGCAGTTGGATCCTGAAAGTTATTTTAATCGGGATGAAATCCCAATGGTGAATGAGGCTAAGTTTTTGGATGTTTGTTTTGATCAAAAACTGACATTTTTGCCACACTTGCGCAACCTGAAGAGTAGATGTTTAAAATCTTCAAACCTTTTAAAGGTACTATGCTGCTCATCCTGGGGAGCAGACAAAGTTCATATGCTCAGGATTTATAGGGCCCTTGTTCGCTGTAAGCTGAATCACAGTAGAATTGTTTATGGCTCTGCGCAAGAATCTACTTTTCGGATGCTGGATTCAATCCACCATGAAGCACTGTGTTTGTGCACTGGTGCTTTTTGAACTAGTACTGTACAAAGTTTGTACGTGGATGCTTATGAGCTTTCACTATCTTTAAGGAGAGAACAGTTGTCTTTTTTTTATTATATAAAACAGAAATCTCATACTAAACTTTCAGTTGATTGTACAGTATTAAATACTCAGCTGAAAAGATTATTTGAAGCTCGCCCAAGTTGTGTCCCTACATTCTTGATAAGAATGGAGAATGGGAGTAGTACGATTGACCTGAACACAGGCAACACTTTACAGCTAGAGGTCTGTAATATATCTCCTTGGTCAACCCCTGTGATAAATGTTGACTTTAGCTTAAAGCAATTTCCTAAGGAATCCATTCCATACTACGTCTACAGACAGCACTTTGCAGAAATTCAACACCGTGACAGGAATTCAATTCTTATTTATACAGATGGATCTAAATCTGATGATTACGTTGGCTCAGCCTTTGTCTGCCAGGATGAAATCGTGGCAGAACAAATTGCATTAAATTTTTTTATTTTTTCTGCAGAGTTGCATGCTATTTATTTAGCTTTAAAATATATAAATAGGAAAGGTCATCATTGCTGTGTTATTTACACTGACTCAGTTAGTGCACTTCAGGCTGTAATTTCGTGTGAACTTTGTTCCCACTCCATAGTGATTAAAATTCATAAACTGTTTTGCCATCTTATTGCAAGTAATTTCTTTGTAAAATTCTGTTGGGTTACAGGCCATGTAGGTATAAAAGGAAATGAAGAAGCTGACACAGCTGCAAAGGCAACTAATTTATCACAGCATATAATTCCTATTGAAAGAGGTGATTTGAAGCTAGTTATTAAAAAACGACTAGCAGAGAGATGGCAAAATGTGTGGATCGCACAAGTCCACAATAAACTACACGAGATTAAATTTATGTTAGAAAATTGGATGTGTAACAAACAGAATGACAGGAGATCTGAAGTTATTCTTAGTCATTTGAGAATTGGGCATACTTTGTTGACTTATCAATACCTTTTGAATGGTGAAGACCAGCCAGTATGTGAGCATTGCAACTGCTTTCTAAGTGTAAAACACATACTTTGCCACTGCATTGCTCTCAATCAAAGTCGTAGACAGCATTTCGGAAATGCAAGTTTGAGAGAGGTTTTGGGCCAGAGACCAAATCTAGACAGCATAGTGGACTTTCTGAAAGTCAATAATATGTATGGAGATATTTGATTAGTTATTTATTTATTCACTTATTTTAGAGTTTTATTAATTTTGATTTTGGTTTGTTATCTTGTATATATTTGTTGTTTTTTTAATTTATTTATCTAATAATGTCTCATGTTTGTTATTGTGATATTTTAAAATTTTTACCATTTTCTTTGGTGCATCTTAGCCTACATGGCTCTTGTGCCAAAAAAACTAAAACAAACCAAACTTAACCATCCAGTAGCTCAAAAGTAGTCTGGGATAAAATCCATAATATTAATGGGAAATATGCTTCTCACTCTCTGTCCGTGCTGGAAAATAATGGTACAATAATCAGCGATATACAGGGTATTGCTGATTTTCTGGGTGAAACATTTTCTGCTTCATTTAGCAATATTATGTATTCAAGGAATTTTCAGGCTTATAAAGCCCAAAGAGAAAAACAGTGTTTAAACTTTTACTCCTTATCTAATGAGGAATATAATGTGCCATTCACTATAATTGAATTACATACAGCAATCTCTCGCTCGGGGAATAGTGCTGTAGGCTTGGATAAAATCCACTACAGCATGATTAAAAATCTGTCAAACAATTCCCTTTCTAATCTCTTGCATCTGTTTAACAGAATATGGACAGAACATACTTTTCCTGACTCTTGGAGGCTATCTATCATTATTCCCATTCCCAAACCATAAGAATATTTCTAATTACAGACCGATCTCTTTGACGAGTTGCCTGTGTAAACTTTTCGAGAGAATGGTAAAGAGATGTCTAATGCATTTCTTAGAGAAAAAGGAATTCTTTTCACCACATCAGAGCGGTTTTCGTAGGAACAGAAGTACCACGGACAATTTAGTAAACCTTGAAACATCAATACGCAAAGCGTTTGTTCGACGACAGCACTTAAGTGTCTGTATTCTTTGATATAGAGAAGGCCTACGATTGCTGCTGGCGATATGGAATACTTTGTGATTTGCACAAATTCGGATTGTGTGGTAATTTGTCAGTTTTTATAAAAAACTTTTTGCAGAATCGTAGATTCCAAGTCAGGATGGGCAACACTTTATCTAGGCATTTCATGCAAGAAGGTTTTTTTCAAGGTTGTATTTTGAGCATGACTCTGTTCCTAATCAAAATCAACAGCATAGCTAACTGTCTTCCTCCCAGTGTAAAACACTCTCTGTACGTGGATGATTTTCAGATCTCTTGCCAGTCTAGTAATATGAGTTTCATTGAGAGACAACTGCAAACCTCCCTAAATCGCATAGACAATTGGTCCAAGACCAATGATTTTTCTTTTAATACAGAGAAGACCTCGTGCATCCTTTTTTGTTGAAGGCGTGGTATGCACCTGGATTTGGAAATTCACCTAAATGGGGTTAAAATCTCAATGGTCAATGAGCCAAAGTTTTTGGGAGTTTCATTTGACCCTAAACTGACGTTTCTATTATACTTGTGCAACTTGAAGTGTAGATGCCTAAAATCTCTGAACCTTTTAAAGGTACTATGCTGCTTATCCTGGGGAGCAGACAAATGTTCTATGCTCAGGGTTTATAGGGCCCTTGTTCGCTCAAAGCTGGATTACGGATGCATTGTTTATGGCTCTGCGCAAGAATCTACTCTTCGGATGCTGGATTCTATCCACCATCAAGCACTATGCTTGTGCACTGGTGCTTTTCGAACTTCTCCTGTACAAAGTTTGTATGTGGATTCTTATGAGCCTCTACTGTCTTAGGAGAGAACAGTTGTTTTTTTTTTTATTACATTAAACAAAAATTACAGAAAAAACTTTCAGCTGATTGTCCAGATACTCAGCTGAAAAGATTATTTCCCGCTCGGACGAGTTGTGTTCCTGTATTCGACATAAGAATGCAGAATGTAAGCAGCACGATTGACCTAGACACAAGCAACATCTCACATGTTGAAGTTAATAGTATTCCCATTTGGTCAACTTCATCGATTGATGTTGATTTAAGCTTAAAGCAGTTCTCTAAAGAAACCACGCCAGACTATGTCTATAGACAGCACTTTGCTGAAATTCAGCATCGTAACAGGAATTTAATTCCTATATACATTGATGGATCTAAATCAGATAACTATGTTGGCTTAGTCCTTGTTTGCCAGGATAAAATTGTCGCAGAACAAATAGCACCGGATTCCTCCATTTTTTCTGCGGAGTTGCAGGCTATTTATTTAGCTTAAAGTATATAAATCGGAAAGGTCATCGTTGCTGCGTGATTTACACTGACTCAGTTAGTGCACTTCAGGCTTTGATCTTGTATGAACGTAGTTCTCACTTCATAGTTATTAAAATTTGAAAACTAATTTGTCATCTTACTACGAGAAATTTTTTTGTGAGGTTCTGTTGGGTCCCAGGCCAAGTGGGTATAAGAGGTAATGAAGAAGCTGATACAGCTGCTAAGTCAGCAAGCCTTTCGCAGCATACAATGCGTATTGAAGGAGGTGATTTGAAGCTAGTCGTTAAAAAATGACTAGCAGAGAGATGGCAAATCATGTGGAATGCACAAATCCACAATAAACTTCACGAGATCAAACGTTTGGTAGAAAATTGGACACATAATAGGCAATATGATAGGAGATATCCTTACTCGTTTGAGTATTGGACACACTCGAATGACTCATCAATACTTTTTGAAGGGAGATGACGAACCAGTATGTCAGCACTGCAGCTGTGCTGTAAGTGTTAAACACATATTTTGCAACTGTGTTGCTTTTGATCAGAGTCGTAGACGGCATTTTGGAAATGCAAGCTTTAGAGACATTTTGGGCCAGAGGCCAAATCTGGATAATATACNGTAATTGCACACACTTGGATAGAAAAAATGGCTGTTTCTCAATATCCATTTTCCTATGAACAAGGGGAGTGCTTGCAGAGTCTTTTGTGGCATACAGTGAATTGAAACTTTCAATATCTTGAAGTTCCATATTATGAACAATGTACTTGCTGGAAGTTTGTCTTACCAGTTGTAGCCAGTCCCAGGGTGTTAAAATGCTCATATTATTTAGTTTCTTCCATTTCCTCTCTATCAACGCATGAACACTGTCAGTCTCCACATAGGTATGACCTTCTAGTAGAAACTTCTGAGTTATGGTCTTAATTTGCGCATACTTAGTCAGTAACCAGTAAAAACACATTATAATATTCACATTCTTATTTTGTTTGTAGCAGTTGTCTGTCCAAAGTATGATTTCTTCCATGTGACTGTCAGGTATGATACTATCTGCCCATTTCAAAATTGCTGATGCAATTTCGTTTCTGCCTCGCCCTCCTTTTGACTCATCCCACATCACACAGTTAACTGAGGAATCAGATGCATCATAAAAGATAAAATTTAAGGCCCAAAGCTTCGTTTTATAGAAACTAATACTATTTGATATGAGTGGGGATGGCAAACATTTCTGAAGGTCTCCAGTTAACACTTTGTGTGTTGGTGTTCCTTGTGCCATCTTAGTCTGATTATATCTCTGTTTTGATTCATTAAGATGAGCAGTATGCTCAGCTTGAAGAGATTCTTTTTTTTCTGGAGTTAGATTACCGGTTTTACTGTGTTCTCCCTGAATTATCTTGTCTGTTAATAACATCATTGTAACGAAAGTTTGTCAGATTACACTGTCAACATTACATATTATGTTGCTTCACATGTAATGTACTTTTCTTTATTTTGTATTGATTTTACGGATATATAATGGACATGGTGTTGTATACCTCTCATAAATATGTTGCACTATGTCAGTGTTCTTGGTATTGTGAGATCAGCCGGGGGTACACTAATTCGTTAGTACCACTTAATCGGCCTATTCCGTGAGAATAGTTCTCCGAGTTTCGAATCGTAAGATCCGATCGTAAAAAGTTTACATAGGAGAGCGTATTTTAAATGATCTGAACGAGAAAGTTCAGATGTTCGTCAGGATTCCTTGATACCAGTTAATCAAACTTATTATATACAGATTAACACGCGTTTGCGATCTGATTCGGAATAAATTGAGGAGACATTCTTATAAAATAAAACAAGAGTAAATTTAATAAATCTCAAACAAACGAATACAAAAATGTCGATTACAACCATTTAGCGACAAGCTAGAGACTACGACTTAATCTATGCTAATGCGCGTTCGAGAGAGAGAGCTCACAAAATGATTCTAAACATACGACCTGTTAGTTGTCGTCTTCGTTTCTGTAGATATAGGACACCTTGTAGATAGAGTTCATATTACTTTCGTATGGGAGATCAATTCGTGCACAAAATATAAAAATATCACTTCTTCTAAGTGTAGACTCGGGACTTAGTCTATCGGACTCCGTTAAGGGCGTTGGCCATCAGGAGGAAAACTGCGTGGAGTTTGGATGCTTCGGATCTGTCGAAGAACTCCTCGAATTCGGACTAGATTTCCCTTATATCTCCTGAATTTCGACCAATCATCGTCCAGTAACTCTTTCGTGAGAACGGACGAAAGGGGGATGAATGAGGGGTAACCATTTCCCATCGGAGCGAGATTTTTAACCCGATAAGGGAAAGTCAGAGGATGTTCTTTTCTATGAAAGGAAATAACATTTGTTATCTGGTTTTTCCCACGTCTAAAACAGTATTTTTTCCACAAAAACGAAGTAATATTTTGTGTCGATATTTTACCATTATTAATAAAAATTCACAAATTAGACCCAGGGCCTTTCGGGTCTCTCAGTATTTAAGAAATAATATTACTCAGCCACATTAATTTCATTGTACAAATACATCAGATGAACAGAACATTAGTCACATTGTGGTATAACTTGTAAAAAATAAATGTCACATTTGGTCCTAAATCTCATCTATATCTTCTTTTGGATAGTCTGTTTTGTTTGTATTACTTGTATGTTCTAAGTTTTTATAAAATGCATGGCAAACTGAAGGGACATACGGCAATAGCGCCATTAAATCATTATATTTATGCTGAGAAATAGGCTCTGGGACATCTGAGAGTTGGTTCAAATCTGCTGGAAATTTAAGTCCATGTCTGCAGAACCTAGTGAAGTCAGCCTGTTTGTCGTCACCATCAAAAGATGTTTTGAAATATAGGATTCCCATGTTTTGCTGTTACACTTGTAATTGCACACACTTGGATAGAAAAAATGGCTGTTTCTCAATATCCATTTTCCTATGAACAAGGGGAGTGCTTGCAGAGTCTTTTGTGGCATACAGTGAATTGAAACTTTCAATATCTTGAAGTTCCATATTATGAACAATGTACTTGCTGGAAGTTTGTCTTACCAGTTGTAGCCAGTCCCAGGGTGTTAAAATGCTCATATTATTTAGTTTCTTCCATTTCCTCTCTATCAACGCATGAACACTGTCAGTCTCCACATAG